TGAATAAAGAAGATGTGGTATGTGTGTATACAAGGGAATACTATTCAGCCATCAAAAAATATGAAATCTTGCCATTTGCAATGATGTGGATGGAACTAGAGGATATTAAGCTAAGTGAAATAAGTCAGTCAGAGAAAGACAATTATCATATGATCTCACTCATATGTGTAATAAGAAGCAAAACAGAGGATCATAGGGGAAGGGAGGGAAAAATAAAACTGATGAAATCAGAGAGGAGACAAACCATAAGAGACTCTTAATCTTGGGAAACAAACTGAGGGTTCCTGGAGGTGAGGGGTTGGGGGTTGGGGTAACTGGGTGATGGACATTAAGGAGGGCATGTGACTTAATGAGCACTGGGTATTATATAAGACTGAGGAATCACTGAACTCTACCTCTGAAACTAGTATATTATATATTAATCGAATTTAAATTTAAAAATAAGTAAATTTTTTTAAAAAGAAAAAGACGTCCCTACTCCCCCAGATGGATTCATCTATAACTCTAAGATACATGGATTATGAATAAGATTTCAGCTCCCACTTGCTCCAGTGGCCAGAGCCTTTTTTCAGTATGTAACACGCCCAACTGCACATTTAGGCCCTAGATGGATTGAGAACTTTCTCTTTGCTAAAAACTAATTTTGCACCTATACACCCGAAATTATTTAGAAAGAGAAATATACTATTTAGCAGAAAGTCTGTAAGAATTGTATTTGTAGATAAAATAGCTCTTTTAAGGGATGTAAACTATTAAGAAATATAGAAATAGTAAGGGATAGACTTGATTTGATCTCTCCAAATTCTAAAAACATCTGACGATGGAAAAAATATCTTTCTCATCCCTCTCCTATCCTGATTTCCAACAGAAAGGGTTGCATGCTTATGTAACCAATGGCGAATTAATTAGGCCCTCTGTGCATCAGTTTCTTCATCCTGGAGTTGTGATGAGGATTAAACATGCTGATATATGTAAAGCTTAGAACTGAGTCTAAGTTAGTATTTACTCAATAAATGTTAGTTATTTTGATTACTTGTGCCATTCACATGTTAATGAGAATGTTAAGCTGGATGAGGCTGTAGAGGACATCTGGGAAACATTCATGCAGAAAATCATATTCAAGTTAGACCTTGGAAAATAGATAGGATTTCAATAGGTAGAGAAAATAAGAGGAAGACATTCCAGGCATCGTGATTTAAAGTGCAAAGGTATAGGTAATACTCAAGTACAGTGAACGGATCTATTTAGCAGAAACTGAATAGCATGTGTAGGAGAGGACGAAAATAAGACTGACAGCTAAATTGGGAGCATATAATAAGGTGTACAGAATTCAGTCTTCTCTCTCTGGTCAGCAATGAAAACCAAGAATGCTTTAACTTGTAATCCTCTGCCAATCTGGTTCCCCTCTATAAAATCTCTTTTCCTCAAAGGTCTTCTAATGCAGTGCTTCTAAAACTGGAAAGAGCAGACCAGTGACTTGGAGTCCTTCCTATAATGCAGATTCTGATATGGCAGGTCTGGAGTGAGACTGAGATCTTACTTTTTAGGCAAGCTTCCAGTGCTACCATGTGCCTGCTGTGGCTCATCCACAGACCTAGGGTGTAATACAATGGCCTCTTCTCATTCACACCCTTACCTCTTCTGCAGTGTTTGGCCTTGCTGATGTTCCTGAAGCTCTCATCATTGGGTTCTATTTTTTCATGTGAATCTTAAGTGATTACCTGAAGCTGAAAATACAGACTGGAAGCCTGCTCTGTAAAACTTCAATTCATATTGACTTGTCTTGAGCATAGCTCGTATGGTATAAAACCATAAAACAAAATTACCATTGGTTAAAAATAACTTTATATATTACCTATAGCTATAAGTTCAAGGCCAGTCTTTAGATGTATACTGTCCGAGCAACTGTCAGTGCATTGATCTCTTTGGTCTTTTAAATGCAAATATCACAAACCATCTTATAATGAAAGACAGACGTATATTGTGATGAAAGACATCTATTATCCATCTCATGATGTGTCTGGCTTCTCTGTAAGATAAATCTCCCCTGAAGTCTCCATGCCCACTGCTGCCCCACTCATCCACATGGGCAGCACAACTGATGGGTGGCAAAGGTGGGTCCATGTCCAAAATTGGGTTATCTTTAGTCTTCCCCATGCTTTTACTCAAACACTGAAATAAAAAAGCAAGTCAGTCCCTCACTGTCTCTACAGAACGGGAAGTCAAGAACATATAAATTCAAGAGCTGTTAGGAACCACACTCTGTCCTGTAGATGGGAGAGTGGGAAAGAGCAGTCAATTGTAAGAAAAAAAGACTAACGAAGGCACCAGAAGAGCACAGGGAAAGAGTTCCACAGCCTGGCATGCTGACAACCTTGCACATCTCCAAATAACCCTACAGGAAGGGTAGGTCACAGTCTGACCTGATTCTTGGCAGAATGCCCTGTGATTTCCTCTGCCCTAAGGGAAGATAAGCAGATGGGTGGGGAAGAGCTGAGAAGCGGTTTCTCCCGTTATCTCATGGAATACTGTCATAAGGCCATTTCTCGTCTATCTCCCTAGTGTCAGTTGAATACAAAGCTTGCCACCACACTTGCACTTAGGGAAAGTTGCAGCCTTCAGTGTAAGTGGGTAAGACTGTCTGGCTGTGGTTGACGTGCTTTCCCAACACCAGAGTGACCTATCACTCACACTATGTATCATCAGGCCCCTTCAGTTTGGTGTCATCTGTGGAAAATGGGACCCAGGGAACTGACACCATAATGACTTGCTTTTCCCATCTTTATAAGTAATTAAGTGTCTGAATCCATTTGGGCATATTTACTCCTTAATAGGCAAATTTATGGAAGTATGGCAAGCCGTCCCAACAACTGTATTAGTATTACCTGTGACCCTATTATTAACCACCACTCTGCTGCCTTGGAAATGCTTAACCCCTTGACAAAGTGAGGAAGGGTAAGAGAACTCAGACTTCCTGAGTTCCCCTCAGTGCTCTAGCTCCTGATGGCAGTCTCTTCCAGGAATGCATCAAGACCTTGAATTCCATGAGATATGGAACTTCTCCAATAAACCTTCCCAGCTTTTTTTTTTCCCCTTAAGAAAACCAGAATGCACGGTTAACCTTAACCCTCAAAAGGTCATATAATGCATACATAAAGGAGTTGCATTTGATGACATTATCAGTCATGAGAACCCCAGCCCTAGAGATTCAAATGAATTTTCTGTATTTATTAAAATTCCACTTCTCTTGTATATTAATTTCTTTTTGGCCCTTGGCCTAGTATATATAATATGATTAGTATGCATTTATTAAAGTCCAATAAATATAAAATTTTATGAAATGATATTGCCCAATAGAAGAAAACATGACTCTTTTTCTACACTATGATGAAAGTATAAATTAGTCATTTATCAAAATTACATAGTACAAAATATATAAATCAACTATACTATGTTTACTCTCTTAGAAATGTATTAATTTTCATTCAGATTAGTTACAACTGTAAGAATACGATGGAATCACACATATTTGTGCCAGATGTTTATCATCCAAAACAGTGTAAGCAGGATTACAGTTTGATCAACACTCATCCCTGGAATTCAGCTGTGTCCAAAATAGAGTATGATCATCCAAGCCAATTACAGATGTTTCTGAATCATTAGTCATAGGGTAGGATGTTCACCAATTAGCCTTATTGTCCTGTTGGGACAGCTAAGTTTTCTTTGATCAGGGTCGTGGACTCTAAATCAACTAAGTTGGGAACAGCTGGCAGAGTCTTGGACATTGTGAAATTGGCCAAATGGTGAGTAAATTGGTAAAAATTCATCATCCCTCTGGGGAAACAACTAAAAAAGTAGACAGTGGGGCCACTAAAGTCATTATTACGGACAAACAAAGCACAATCACATATAAGATATGAATGCCTTGACTGTCATATTAGTGAAATATCTTTAGGAAAGTGTACAGACGGTAACTGAAACATCTGGCTGCCTGTACTCCTGAGAGGCAAGCAGTCCATGACATACTGATAACTAGTCATAATTTATAATAGGCCTTTATAAAAAGTCCAAGTTTGAAAATAAATTTTACTAGTTGATGTTAAACAGTGGACATCTAGTCACTCTTAATATGATTTACTAGAGTTGCCACAGTACAAATTATTAACAGACTCTCTACATTTATAAAAATGTTTTATGGTGATGAGTGAATTACAGTAATTACTTTATAAATTTAAAATAAAATGCAGAGTTAGGAAAAATTAAATTTTCAATTAACTCATAATTTGTTTTAAAATATCTTTAACACACATTCACACAACATAATCTCCTGGGTTGGTGACTTTCTCTAGCCACACATAGTAACTGTTTCCACGATTCGTTCTAACAAATGTTTTCTGAAGTTTTTTCCCCACAGCATAACTCTCCATAAATTAACGTGAACCCATTATACCAAACGTGTTTATCTGTGTTAACGTATGCATTTAATTTTAGTATGCCCATTTCAGGCGCGAAGAGCACCCCTCCCGCCCGCCCCCAGCAAGCACCCCTGCAAGGAGAAGACCTGTGGAGTCCTGAGGGCTGTACTGAATGAGGGAGACAGGAGTTCTGTAAAACCTGACTTACCCAGAACAAAAAAGCTCCTACAACTGAGAGCAAGAGGAAGTCTGAGCGTAACTGGATCATTTCAAGTAACCAGCCAGGCAGAAAGGCCTCCTCCAAACTGCAGGCCTTGAGGCTACCTCGCTCGCTTCCCCGGCTCGCCACCCGGGAGGCGGGGCCCCGGAGAGCGGCGGCGCGGGGCGGAGGGGACTTGACCTGGGGCGCCCAGCGTCCACCGCCCGCTCCCGGCCTCCTTTGCTTTCGCACACGGCGGGCTCCGCGCCGCTAGGGCAGCAAGGAATTCAGAGGAGAAACTTCTCTAGGGAGACTGGCCTGAGTAAAGTTTTCGGGACACGCGAAGGGAAAAGCAACAGGCCCGCGGCGGGGCGGGGCGACCTTACCAGCGGAACCACCGGCCAGGATCTGGCGAGAAGCCTCTTTCACGAAGCCGGTGTTGGGCTTGGCGGACATCTTCACAAGCGGGGCAAGAGGGAGCGTGCCGAGAGGGGTGGGCGAGTTCTCCGGCCTCTGTGCGGGCTTGTAGGAACTCCTCGGATCCGGACAGAGCCGGCTCTGGATAGGTCCTAGCGCCAAGTGGCTCCCGGTGAAGCGGCAATCCGACGACTGCTCGGAGGTGGCGGCTCAAGGCTCAGGCTCGCTGCGTGATCTCTGGCGGGTCGGTACCTGCCCGCTGCACCCCTTCGAGGGGCTCTCTGTCACCCCTCCTAGGCTCGGTGGGCTCCAAGAAGGACCCTGGCGAAGAGAAGACTCGCGGATGGGGTTGGGTGGGCCGCCCGCGGTGGGTCGAGTTTGGTCTTCTAGATTGGCGCTCACGCGCTTCCCTATCAGAGTCTCCTACAGTTTGTCTAGCTGGACGGGCGGCCTCTGATAAAGCTTGCAAAGAAGCGAGCCTGGCCTTGCAGCGGCGCTGGGGCGACCCTTGCCCTCCCCGCAAGCCAGCGCTCTGGGAGGTTCTCAAGGCCGGACAGGTGAATGCGGCCCTTCGGAGTTAGCTGTCTGCAGTTGTGGGCTGTAGAGACTGGGTCAGAGCAAATCAATTCACAATCACCTTACAATTAAGTAAGTGCAGTCCTTTACAAAGAAAGGGCTCTGGCGTAAGGGAATTTCTCACACCTCATCAGCTTGAGTTTTATTTACTGAATGACCAAAATAAAGAAGAGGCCTTGTTACAAAGAAGTGTCTTCAGTACTCCACATCAGTGTTTCTGGAAGTATGAGGTTAAGATCTGGCAACATAAGCCTAACGGGAGAGTTTGTAAGTAAGGCAAATTCATGGCCCATCCCAATGTACTGAATCAGAATCTCTGGTTATAGGGCTCAGAAACCTGTGTTTTAGTACGTTCTCCAGGGCTTAGGAACGTTAAAGGTTGTGAACCACAGAGCTAAATAATCAAGGAATATTAAGCAACTATCAGTATATTCTTTCTCTAAAACATTTAATTATCCGTACCAGCCCTTTAGAATATTTGGCAAAACGTAATAATTTATACTATTTTTTAAACCACAAGCTACAAATGCTATGTAGAAGAGACACAATGTTATGAAATTTTAGAGGCAGAGTTGCGCAGCAGAAGCATACTGGGCCCATTATGAAATTTTAGAAAAATACCTGCCATACCCCTAATAGGTAGGAAATGATCCTAGTAAAAGGCAGAATGAGAGGATTTGGAACTCCTATTGTCATATTTTTTCTTAAGCGTTGTATTTAATACTAAATATATTCAGTTTGAACCATATAATATTGCCAATTTTGAAAACCAAAAATAGTTGAATACCAGGGATGTAATATGGTTAAAACTTAATATGTATGCTTTCCAATTAAATGCAAAATACAATAGTTTCGTATTTTGTTTTTATTTCTGAGTCTGAGCTATTAAAAGCTGTTAATATTAGATATCTGACGGGCAAATTGTTAAAAGTAAGAAGTTGGGTAGACTTGCTGCTTATGGACCAGTTAATACCAAAATAAATTTTCTCATATTTGATTAAATATTTGACTAAATAGCTAAGTTTGAAATGTTTACAAAGAAATAGTTTAGAGAAATTTTTGCTGTTTAACTAAAATAAAAGCTTTTGAAGAATGTTTCAGCTTTTGACTAATTAAATTCACGGTCCAGAGTGCAATATAGAGTCACATCAACAAATTTTGAGAACCTATTAGATACTGAGCACTAAAATCAGAATTTCAGACCTCAGAAAACGTTTCCCTCATTTTCCAATGTGGAAACTGAGTTTCCCAGCATCATAAATGAGTTAATATTGCTGGGATTTGATTCCAGGATTCCCTCTTCTAATTGCAGTGGGATTATAGATTTAAATATTGGCCACAGGCCATAATTTAGGAAATACAATAATTCTCCCAGGTGAAGATTTAAAGATAATCTTTTTTTTTTTTTACAGTTGTATCAATATAAAGATAGACTTTTAACCAATTCTGTCAGTACATTAATCTCTGAATATCTTATCCTGAGGAGGTGGATGCAGATTTGTGGCCTCACTAAGACCTTTGTCTATCAACATCTGTAAATTTAGTGAGAAGACTCTCCTAGGCATAGTTCCAAATACCTTTAGAAAATTGCTACCAATTTTTAGCCTCTTTGAACTGATTTTATTGAGTTTTTTTTAAAAAAAGCAAAGCCTGATGTCACATGTAATCTAGTCCTATGCCTCTATAGTAGTTGAGGGTATAGGGTCTAGGTGTAAAAATATTCTGAAGCTTGGGAGTTAGCCAGTGTCCATCCAGAGTCAACAAATACCCATTATTCTGAGAGCTTTTATTATGGGATGTATCTCTTATCTGCAGCCCAATTTGCTTATGGCCCGGTATCAGAATGCTGCAAAGTTTAGCACTGAGGAAAAAAAAAAAAAAAGTAAAATTTATTTGACCTACTGTGTCAGATACTCTAGACTTAACCCATCACAATTATTCTTTCTATTGTTATTTTATATAAAGCTGTAATGTCCTGATATTAGAGCAAAACTGCTGAAGTATCAAGCTTATATATATATATATATATATATATATATATATATATATTTTTTTTTTTTTTTTTTTTTAGGATCTATTGGAAAGAGAGACCCTGCACGTGGATGGGAGGAGGGTAAAAAGGTGGGGTAAGTGGAAAGGAAGAGACTTTTAGGCAGACTTCCCTGAGGCAGAGCTGGATTCACGACCCTGAGATCATGACCTGAGCCCAAACCAAGAATTGGATGTTTAACCAACTGTACCACTGAAGCACCCCAAGCTTATATTTTTACATTATATTATTTTATCTATATACATAGATCTCATTGGTCAGAACTTGGCCATAAGAGATATAAGGGAAATTGGGAAAGTAGTATTTTGCTGTGTGGCAATAAGTCTAGGGAAAAAAACAAAAACAAACATTATGGAAGAAGGGGAGAATATATTGGGAAAAAATCAGCAGTGTATGCCATTTGGGGGATAGGTGAAGGAATGAAGAATTATATTTAAAATGACAGTGCTTTTCCTAATAAATGTGGAGTCACTGAAAAATAAATTAAATAAATAAATAAATAAAATGACAGTATTTGCTCATTTTGAAAAATTTTGTTTTCCTCAGACTTAAAGTTTACTTCATCAGTGTCTAACTAGAAAATACAGTATAACCCTGTGGTACTTGTACTATGACTGGACCCACATTTTAAAATATCATTTATTGAAAGATACATAGCCACTGTAGGCCCATAGATTCTTTTTTTTTTTAAGATTTTATTTATTTATTTGACAGAGATCACAAGCAGGCAGAGAGGCAGGCAGAGAGAGGGGGTCGGGGGAAGAGGGTCCCCATGGAGCAGAGAGCCCGATGCGGGGCTCCATCCCAGGACTCTGGGATCATGACCTCAGCCGAAGGCAGAGGCTTAACCCACTGAGCCACCCAGGTGCCCCATCCATAGATTCTTTTATTTAGGTGTCAAAACACAGACACACAAATGTAGAATTTGGCACACATGGAGCCTATCATAGAATAGAGTGGAAAGTTGAAAAGAGTGTGTATGGACACAAGAATAAGAAATCTTGATGGATAGACGAGATTGTAACTCTTAAACTAGTGAAAAATCTATTATTCCATAATATTCTTTTACAGAAGTATTATAAATATTGAAGCAATGCTATTTGCAAGTGAAAGACAGGTTTTAAAATTTGTAGGTCTGATTATCAGCGCTCTAAGCTCTCAGTGGTTTATACCTTACAAATACCAAGTTATTGTATTTTTAGGACAGATCTTAGGTTCTGGTGCATTAGATTTTCATTTCTAAATTCCAAGGGACTTTGCTGGACAGAATGAACAAAATAATTACTTGGGAAACTTTTTTCAATATTTTATTGTGATATAATAGGTCATACATATAACAGACTTCTATTATTTGGGACATACCTGGGAACCTAGAAGTTAAGGCCTCTAACCAGTCAACATGCAGAAAGCCATGCACTTTGCTCTTAGGAGCGTTCCAGGACTTCACATAGAGCTAGTCTTAGACCCAGTTCTAAAAAGGTTGGTAGGGTAGAAGTCTAATATCTTGGTTCACAGCAGATTAGAAAGAAGAAATTAAAAGAGAATTGGGAAGGGGGATATCAGGGAAATTCTGGAAAAGTAAAGAGCAACCTGCAACTTTCCAGCCATATTTAGCCTGCCTAGCAAATTGGAATAACGAAAACCTTCATTTAATGCTTACTTATAACCCATTATCTCATTCACAATATCCCTGTGACAGAAATATTCTTATACTGGCTAGTTAAGTAACTTGCCTGAAGTCATACTGAGAATTTGAGGTATTATTTGAACCTAAGTATAATTGAGAGGGCCTCTTTCTGAATTGCTAGTTATGTTGTTATTACGTTCTAATTTTAATTTTAGCTTTTCTACCCATACGAAAAAATCAAAATGTAAAATCATTCAGAGTAAGTAGCTTGTAGCATCCTTGACTTTGGTAAACAAGGAATTGATTAGCTGGATCTGGAATTTTATATATCTGAAGTTAGAAAAGCACTAACTTCAGTGTCACAAATTGCATATGTGAGACTGGTATGAATTTTCTGTTTATTAAGTCAGGGTATCTCAGCAATGGCACCATTAACATTTTGGGCCACATAATTCTTTGTTGTGGGAGACTGTCCTGTGCAGTGCAGTATTTTTAGCAGCATCCCTAGCCTGTACCCATTAGCTGCCAGTAGCTCCTCTATCCCCAGTTGTGACGACCAGAAATGTCTCCAGACATTGCTAAGTGTTCCCTCCAGGGCAAAAATGTCCTTAGTGGAGAATCATGGGTTTAAGTAAAAAAGAACTCATATAAGTGAAGCCTATTTTAACTTTTTAGAAGCATAAGATGACAAACCTGGAAGACTTTAATCGATGCCTTATTTGACAGTTTAGGAGACTGAGGTGGGAAGAGGAGAGGAAGGGAGAGAATCTTAAGCAGGCTCTATGC